ATAAAACCCCAGGACCAGATGGCTTTCCTGGGGAATTCTACCAGACTTTCAGAGAGGATTTAATACCGATCCTTTCCAAGCTATTCCAAAAAATTAGGGAGGATGGAACACTTCCTAACACATTCTATGAGGCCAACATCATGCTGATACCAAAGCCTGACAAGGACAGCATGAAAAAAGAGAACTACAGGCCAATATCACTGATGAACATAGATGCAAAACTTCTAAACAAAATTTTGGCAACCAGAATTCAGCAATTCATCAAAAGGATCATACACCATGATCAGGTGGGATTCATACCAGCAACACAGGGATGGTGCAACATCCGCAAATCAATCAACGTGATACACCACATCAACAAACTGAGGAATGAAAACCACATGATCATCTCAATAGATGCAGGGAAAGCATTTGACAAGATCCAACAGCCATTTATGATAAAAACTCTGAACAAAATGGGCATAAAAGGGAACTACCTCAACATAATAAAGGCCATATATGACAAACCTACAGGCAACATCATACTCAATGGGCAAAAACTGAACGCCATCCCCCTGAAAACAGGAATGAGACAAGGATGCCCTCTATCACCACTCTTATTTAACATAGTACTGGAGGTCCTGGCCAGAGCAATCAGGCAAGAAAAAGGAATAAAAGGAATCCAAATAGGGAGGGAAGAAGTGAAAGTCTCACTGTTTGCAGACGACATGATCTTATATATAGAAAACCCCAAAGAATCCATTGGAAAACTCTTAGAAGTAATCAACAACTACAGCAAAGTTGCAGGGTATAAAATCAATTTGCATAAATCAGTAGCATTTCTATATTCTAATGACGAACTAACAGAAAAAGAACTCAAGAACACAATACCATTCACAATCTGAACAAAAATAATAAAATACCTCGGGGTGAATTTAACTAAGGAAGTGAAGGACCTATATAATGAAAATTACAAGGCCTTTCTGAGAGAATTGGATGACGACGTAAGGAGATGGAAAGACATTCCATGTACATGGATTGGAAGAATAAACATACTTAACATGTCCGTTCTACCTAAAGCAATCTACAGATTCAACGCTATCCCAATGACATTCTTTACAGAATTAGAACAAAGAATCCTAAAATTTATATGGGGCAACAAAAGACCCCGAACTGCTAAAGCAATCCTGAGAAAAAAGAACAAAACGGAAGGCATCACAATCCCTGACTTCAAAACATACTACAAAGCTACAGTAATCAAAACAGCATGGTACTGGTACAAGAACAGGTGCACAGATCAATGGAACAGAATTGAAAGCCCAGAAATAAAACCACATTTCTGTGTACTGCTTATCTTCGACAAAGGAGCTGAGAGCATACAATGGAGAAAAGAAAGTCTTTTCAATAAATGGTCTGGGAAAACTGGAAAGCCATATGTAAAAGAATGAAAATTGACCATTCTTTTTCACCATTCACCAAAATAAACTCAAAATGGATCAAAGACCTAAAGGTGAGACCTGAAGCCATAAGGTTGCTAGAAGAAAACATAGGCAGTACACTCTTTGACATCAGTATTAAAAGGATCTTTTTGGATACCATGTCTTCTCAGAGAAGGGAAACAACAGAAAGAATAAACAAATGGGACTTCCTCAGACTAAAGAGCTTCTTCAAGGCAAATGAAAACAGGATTGAAACAAAAAAACCACCCACTAACTGGGAAAAAACATTTGCAAGTCATATATCTGACAAAGGCTTAATATCCATAATATATAAAGAACTCTCACAACTCAACAACAAAAAATCAAACAACCTGATCAAAAAATGGGCTGGAGACATGAACAGACATTTCTCCAAAGAAGATATACGGATGGCCAATAGGCGCATGAAAAGATGCTCATTATCGCTGATCATCAGGGAACTGCAAATCAAAACTACACTAAGATATCACCTTACACCCATTAGAATGACAAAAATATCTAAGTCTAATAGTAACAAATGTTGGAGAGGTTGTGGAGAAAAAGGAACCCTCATACACTGCTGGTGGGAATCCAAACTGGTGCAGCCACTGTGGAAAACAGTATGGAGATTCCTGAAAAAATTAAAAGTAGAACTACCATACGATCCAGCCATCCCACTGCTGGGTATCTATCCAAAGAGCCTGCAGTCAGCAATTCCAAAGTCCTATGCAACCCAATGTTCATTGCAGCATTATTTACAATAGCCAAGACATGGAAGCAACCTAAGTGCCCATCAACAGATGAATGGATAAGAAGATGTGGTACATATATACAATGGAATACTACTCAGCTGCAAAGCAGAACAAAATCATTGCATTTGCAATAACATGGATGGACCTTGAGGGAATTATGTTAAGTGAAATAAGCCAGTTAGAGGAGGATAATCTCTGTATGACTCCACTCATATGAGGAATTTAAAAATATGGACAAAGAGAACAGATTAGTGGCTACCAGGGGAAAGGTGGGGTGGGGGGTGGGCACAAAGGGTGAAGTGGTGCACCTACAACACGAATGACAATAATGTACAACTGAAATTTCACAAGATTGTAACCTATCATTAACTCAATAAATAAATAAATAAATAAATAAATAAATAAATAAAATCAAGAATTAAAAAAATAATAAACTAATAACTCAACGTAAAAATGGGGAAAGGAGCTAAACAGACATTTCTCCAAAGAAGATACACAAGAGGCCAAAAAGCACAGGCAAAATGCTCAACATCGTTACTCAGAAGGGAAAAACAAATCAAAGCCACAATCAAGATATCACTGCCCAGCCACTAGGACTGTGGTAATTTAAAAGGTAGATAGTAAGAAGTGTCGACAAGGATGGGCAGAATTTGGAATCCTCATACGTTGCTGGCAGAAATAAAACATGGCGCAGCCCTTTGGAAAACAGCCCGGCAGCTCTTCAAAATCTAGACGCAGTTTCCATACGATGCCACAATTCCACTCCCAGGTATGTACCCAAGAGAAATGGAAACATATGAAAAATTTGAACATGAATGTTCATAGCGTCAGGATTCACAAGAGCCAAAAGTTGGAAACAACCCAAATATCCCTCCACTGGTTAGTGGATAAACAAAACATGGTATATCCAGACAACAGAATATTATTTGGCATAAAAGAAAATCAATTACTGACATGTGTTATAAATGCGGATGAACTTTGAAACATCCTACATTAAAGGAGCCATCAAAGGACCCGTATTGTGTTATTCCGTTTACATGAAATGTCCAAAATAGACAGAGAGAGACAAAGAGTAGATGAGTGGTTGCCTAGGGCCATGGGGATGGGGGAAGGGAGAGTGACTGCTCACGGGTACAGGGTCTCATTTCGAGGGGATGAACATGTTCTACTATCATGGTTGCACAGCTCTGTGAATATCCCACAAACCACTGAATTGTACACTGAAAATGGGTGGATTACATGGCATGGCAGTTATATGTCAACAAAGCTGTTTTAAAAAAGAAAAAGAAGAGTAATTTTCTTTTAACTTTGGGATGTGCCTTTGTCCCACGATAAGTAGGACGAGGCACTGGCTACAGCCGAGTCCCAACCAATCCAAAGGATGTGGGTCACAGCCCCACAAAGCCCACCCCCAGGGAAAAGGGCAAGACATCCTCGGAAGGAAAGGATGGGGGATGCTGACCACAGGAAGAGGGGTGCAGACTTGCTCCAGCCAGCAGCATGGGCAGCAGCAGCCCTAACCCGACCCTTCACACTAAAGAAATTTTGCCTTGAATTTATGCCTCGATCTTCCCAAGGAAAAGCAGGTGCAGCTTAAGGTGTCTCTCTCGGCAAGAGGGTAGCTGGCAGAGGACAGAGTGGAAATTTTATCTTTTGATTTTCAAAGCAGCTATTCCACGTGGGAAACACATCCAAAGGGAGAAAACGTGAGTGCGTATGCTGTAACATTCTCTCTAATTCAATCAGACCAAGACACGGAGGTTTCCTTAGAAACTTGACCAGAACAGAGCTGGAGATGGGATTTTAAACAACAGGACTTGGAACAAGTGAACATTATTGACTCATTGGTGTGATAGTCAGGGAGCCACCAGGGTGAACACAGATCCTGCTGAAAGATGAATGAAAGTGCCCAAGGGCATCGATGAACTCTGGTGAGACGGAAGGAGCAGGACCTGTGCAGTGAGCACGGAAAGGGGAACTTTCCATGACACACAGGCCGTGAGTGAGTTGCACTGGAACCACTCATCTGAGAGCTCGGCCTCTCTCATTTGTCTGTTTACCAGTTTAGACCCTCAAGGGGAAAAAACTATTTGTGTCCCCTGTTTTATGGCTTCAGGAACATTTGGTAACTTAAGGCATCAGCTGTCAGAGCTGCAGGAACTTCTGGAAACCACTTAGGCCCTCCAGCCTAGCCCGATGTTACAGATGAGGAAACTGAGACGCAGGGAGGCTCCAAGGACACACTGGGAGTGTCTCTGACAGCTGATCCAGGGCCTTTCTCCCTGGCGAGACATAAAAATCTCTGCTCCCTGTGCCAGGAGTGGCCTGATCATTAGAACAAGACATTTTCCAAGAAAGCTGCCTGTTTACCATCAAGTGACCCCCAAACAAAACTTGAAGGACACCAGTAACTTTTGACATCATTTTAAAGAAACAAAGGTTGGTGCTTTCTTTTTTCCAAAGGGTAAAACATAGGATCATTTTCGTTCTTTCCCCAACGCAGAAACGAAACAGTCTACTGGACAGGAGAAAACTCTAGGGCGAGTTGCCATTTTCAGTTTATCCCCACGGACATTTGAACCAAACGACTAGAGTCCTGACCCCTTCATCCCTATAGTCCCCCACAGTAAACGCATCAACTCATCATAAATGAGCAGAGACACATTGGTCTCCTCGCCCAGGTAGCATCCACCTGCGAGACAGGTGTGCTCCTGCCACCAGGTCCCCGTCCCTCCCACAGGGGTCCAGACAGGGCCTGGCACAGGGGTGGCGGGATGGCGCCGCCTTTGGTGGCGGGCAGCAGCTCTCTCACCTGCAGGCTGACCAGGCCAGGGCCGTGTCCTTCACCGAGGTGACGGAGGTCTCCTGCTGTCCCTGCAGACGCCGACGAACAGCCCTCGGTGATAAAGGACCGGGACACGGAGCAAAGGGCCCCCGTCCCCTGCGTCCGGCCCACAGGGCGAACCACAGGCGGGTCTCCGGGCTCAGAGGCCATCTCTGCGGCCCCGGAGCCTCTTCTGCCGGCCTCTGGGCGCCGGCTGGCCCAGGACGCGGGGCCGAGGGTTCTGGGGGGACAGGCTCCCTCTCTCGGCTCCCCCCGCCGCGCCCACAGCCTGGCCCACCGGGACCCAGGACCTCTCCGCACGCCCCACCCGACCCGGCCACGGAGCAGATGGCAGGCCAAGAGCCTCGGGAGCGGCTCTTGGGCGCCATTGGCGATGCGCGTGCGCGCGGCGGGCGGTCACCGGCACGCGCTTTCTCTGGCAGTTCTGCACAGGGCCAGGAAGGGAGCCGGGTTGCCCTCGGGGTCTGCCCGTGTCCGCCGCTGGAGGGAGGCCCTGCAGCTCCGAGCTCGTCCCCGCCACAGTCCGCGGGGAGAGCCCGGCCATGGCCACGCCGAGCTGGGCTGCTGCAGCCCCACCACCCGTCCCTCAGGGGACAGTGGGGAAACGGAGGCCAGGAGCGGCAGGGACTGGCTGGGCCCTTGAGCTGGGCAGAGGCCCCAGGACAAGAAATAGAGGCTCCTCCCATTTGCATCGCGGCGTCTGTGTTTCCATTCACTGGCTTATTCATCCACTCATTCACTCATGGCCTCACTCACTCACTCATTCATCCAGTCATTCATTCATTCAGGCCTTCGCTCATTCATCATCCGTTCATTCGTTCAGGTAGGAATTCATTCTTTTAATCATTCAGCCAGTAGCCTCTATTCCCTGCTTGTGTGCCCAGCACTGTAACTTCACCAGGGAGCAAAACCCAATATGGTTCCTGCCCACGTGGAGCTCAGGTCCCTTGTGTGACACGAAGAAAACGTCAGAGGAATCCCATGCTGGGGGCTGCCATCTTGGGTGACCCTTGATCCCATGTTCAGGACAAGAGCCCCTTACCACGTTTCCTGCAGGCTGCAGGCAAAGGCGGTCCCTGAGGGCAGCTGTGGCTCAGGGAGGCCTGAGGAAGATGCCCCGCAGGGGCTGAGGGTCTCTGGGCTCAGGGTGGGGAGGCAGGCGGCACAGGGAGGGAAACGAGAGGTGGGGTAAGTGGGCACCGGGAGCCGCCACCTGGGCTCTGAGCTTGTGTCTTTGCCTCTGTGCCTCTCCCTGGTGAGAAAAGCTCAAACCGTCTACACTACCCCCACCCCTCGCCCCTCGCCCACCCCATCCCTGTACAGTCCAGAGTGGTGAGAGCCAAGGAGGGGAGAGGCAGGGACAGGGGGAGCCCTGGGCACCGCTTCCCTCACTCCAATTAGAAATATCTGCTCTGGCTCCACCCTCGGCATCGGCTCCCCTGGTTCCCATGAACCCCCTTCTCCCTCAGCCCCAGTCCTCACCCTCAGAGAGTTGGGCGGGGCTGGCTCTGCACCTCCATCCTCCACAGGGGTCTCCCAAGTCCCCCAAGAGGTGCTTCCCATGCCACTGCCCTCAGCCCAGGCACTCGTCTGAGCTGGAGAGCTGTGCACACCTCAACTCTCAAGGTTCAGGGGGTCCAGAGCCCCCCAAGCACCAGCAGGCTCCCCTCCCACCCTCTGCAGGCCACAGGCCCCTGGTGGAAGAGAGGGAGCCGGGGAACTCAGTGATGCCCACTGTGGCCTCCCCACCGGGCAGCATGGCCTCGGTGACCAGTGTGGTGTCCAGAAGAAAATGCAGGGTCTGGTGGGGCTCGTCCCCTCTGAGGTGACAGAGGAGGCCATGGAGGTCAGCAGAGAAGGCTCTGGGGAGACAGGAAAGTCGTGGCCCCCACCCCAAGCTGATGGCACCATTTGCTGATCAGCAAAGAGAAACTTGCCCACCTACCACAGGACCCTCCTGGCAGCATCTCCCAGGCTGACCTTTAGGACCCCATGGCCATCTTGGGCCACCTTTCTGAGCCACTGGGTCTGGATGTGGGGACATGTAGGGCCCTTCCCAGCCCCAGCTAAGAGAGGGGACCTTGGGGAGCTCACAGATGAGAGCAGAGCATGCCTGCCCTGGGACTGAGGAAGTTTTGATGCCACTCTGTGAGTGGACACTGGGCAGAGGTTGGAAGGAAATCCCCCAATATATCTGTGCCCACTGTAAGCCAGGGCAGGGGGCAGCCGGGCACTGCTGTCACAGCCACAGGTTGGCTTAGTGAGCGGAGCTTGGGGGAGGATGATGGGGACTGCCAGCACTGGAAAGACACGGGCTTTGACTTTTCAGCTCCTGCTAGGGCTGTGGAGCCAGCTGAAGACAGGGCCCAGGAGCTGGGAGAGCCATCCCCTGCTCCAGCTCCCGCCATGGCTGTGGAGCCAGCTGAACATGTGGCCCCGGAACAGGGAGAGCCATGCCCTGCTCCGGCTCCTGCCAGGGCCCAGGAGCAAGCTGAAGTCGCGGCCAGGGAAGAGGGAAAGCCATCCACTGCTCCAGATTCTGCCTGTGCCTGGAAGACTGCTGAAGCCCCAGCCACGGTCCAGAGAGAACCATCCACTTCTCTGCCTCCTGCTGGGGCTGGCGAGGCAGCTGAAACCACAGCTGCAGATCATGGATAGCCATCCCCTTGTCCAGATCCTCCTGGACACCTGGAGCCTGCTCAGGCGCTAGCCCTGTCCTCGGGAGAGCTCACTCTCCAACCCCCGTCATCCCCAGCTCCTGACCCATCCCTTCCACCTTCTTCCTCACCACAACCTCCCTTCGTCTCCCCCCTTAACCTGTATGTCTGTGTGGCCATTTATGTTTTTTGATTTCTTGTCTTGTTGTGGTGTTTGTGTCAGTTTTGAAATAGATTTGTTGATTTATATTTTAAGAAATCTGTGTTTTCTCCTTTTAAATTGTACAATTCCTGAGTATTAAGTTCCCAGCTCATAGAGACAGCCCCCAACAGCTCACTCATCTAGCACATGTCTAGAAGGAGCACCATGTTTTCGTGTTGTCTGCCCATCTGCCGGGTCCGCAGACTCAGCCAGAGCCCGCCACGAGCACCCAAGATGCAGATGCTGGCTCCTGTCCCACTTGAGACATCTCTGGACGTTTGTGAGAAAGGACACAAAGGTAATACAGGGATGCCCAGGGTGGGCCAATCCAGGCCAGGCCACCACTGTAGTCCCACTTGGACAGCCCTACGTTCCCTCCCTGTGTGTGTGTGTGTGTGTGTGTGTGCGTGCATGTATGTGTGTGTGTGTGGAAGGGTGGTTTGTGTGAGTGGACCACTGCGAGGAGGAGCAGGCTGATGAGGGGTTAGAAGCCTGGAGGGCCGGGCCCATTCCCAACCCAGCTCATGCCTGATTGGGTGGGACATGGGGTGCTGGGCAGGACACTCTGCCTGAGGTTTCTCCCGAGCCCCTGAGGTCTATCTGTTTCATCCTGGGGAGAATTCTGCGCAGACACAGGGTCGTGCCTGATCTGGAAGCATTAGGTCTAGAAGACAGAAGAAAGAGGAAGGGCAGCTGAGCAAGACTCTGATGCTTCTGGGCTGGCTGTTGGTCACTGTCTTTGCAGAGGTCATCTCAGGAGGTGGGCACAGAGCTGGTGGAAGGGGACACGGAGTCCATCTCCCCGAGGGAGGAGAAGCTGTGCAGGAACACTGGAGCGACATGCGTGGGGAAAAGGCCAGCGTCAGAGCCAGTACAGGGCCCAGCACATGTGTGGGGAGAACAATCCTTTTGAGCAGCTCCTGCAGAAGAGCAGGAGACAAGCGGGGCCCCACGCCGGAAGCAGGGAGAGCCAGCCCCTACTCAGGCTCCTGCAGGAGCCATGCTGCCTGCTGTGCTCGAAACAGCTGAGCAGGGAGACCCATGCCCTGCTCTGGCTCCTGCAGGGGCCCAGGAGCCAGCTGAAGCCGCAGCCATGGACCAGGGAGAGCCATCCCCTGCTCCAGATCCTGCCAGGCCCCAGGAGCCTGCTGAAGCCGGGGCCACGGACCAGGGAGAGGCATCCCCATCTCCAGCTCCTGCCAGGATTGTGGAGGTGGCTGAAGCCTGGACCACTTCCCAGGGGGAGCAATCCCCTGCTCCAGCTCCTGCCAGGGCCCTGGGGCAGGCTGAAGCTGCGGCAGCACACCAGGGGGAGCCATTCCCTGCTCCAGCTCCTGCCAGGGCTGTAGAGACAGCTGAAGCTGTGGGAGCACACCAGGGAGAGCCCTCCCGTGCTCCAGATCCTCCTGGAGCCATGGAGCCTGCTCAGTCCCCAGGATTGTCCCCAGGAGAGCACACTCTCCAACCCCCTGTCATCCCCAGGTCCTGACCCATCCCTTCCATCTTCTCCCTCACCACAACCTCCCTTCCTCTCGCCCCTTGACCGGTATGTCTGTGTAGCCATTTATGTTTCTCATTTTATTGTCTTTTTTTGGTGTTTATGTAAATTGTAAAATAAATTTCTTTCTATTTGAAGAACTCTGCGTTTTCTCCTTTTCAATGGTACGATTCCTGAGTGTTAAGTACAGTCCCAATGCTCAGCCTCCATCACCACTGTCCAGTAGCTGAACATTCCCTGAACCGCAAGGGAAGCCTGTTCCCAAAGCGCTCATCCCCCATTCCTCCCTCGCTGCCTGACAACCCCTAATGTGTGTTCTGGCAGGTTGTGGTCAATCTTTTCTGGATGTATCCGATAAGCGGTGTCATGCAATGGGTGGCCATCCTAGGCTGCTTCCATATTTTCAGAAGCACTGATCGAAAGCAGCCGTGTCAGGAGCCTCTTGTGGTCCACATGCGTGCTGGGGGCGGGGACCCCCACGTGAGCTGCCGGCAGGGCTGCTCTGTGTGCCTGGCCAGGGACAGGAGGCCCGGCTGCCCCGAGGGAGAGAGGCCTGGGAGCCCCTGAGGGCGGCCTCACCACACCCAGGGGGGCAGGAGGCCAGGGCTGTGTTCATGCCGAGCAGGGCTGATGTAGTTCCTGCGCAACCCTCACGGGACAGTTAGGAAGCTGAGGCCAGGGGAAACAGGGACCGGCCCTGGGCCCGCGAGGTGGGCAGAGTCCAGAGGAGAAGCGAGGCTTCCAGGCCCCTGGGCCAGCTCTAGCGTCCCAGGAGATTGGCCTTGGGAAGGAGAGCCCCTAAGATCCTGGGGGACCTCTGTCCACGACCTCCCATTGGGGGCCCTTTCCTTTGGGCATCCGCACCTGGGCGCACACTCACTCTCACACTCACACACACTCTGCCTGCCCAGGGTGGGGGTCAGGAGGGGACTGCACACTGGGGAGGTGACAGCCGCAAAGAAGAAAGAGGTTGGAGGTGGCTCTGCCATGGCCCAGGGGTTTCCGGTCCCCTAGCAACATGCCCAGGTCTGTAGCATGAGGAGGAGGAAGCCTGACAAGGTCTGGGGTCCTGTGTCCACCACTCTGGGCACCTGGATGGAGGATGTGACATCCCCCCTGCCTCCGCCCCCAGTGTGGAAGGGGATACTGGATGGAAGGCCTGAGGTTACTCCTCCGTCAATTGAGGAGCCTAGAGGAGTGACTCCAAGGACCCCACAAGCTTGTAGAAGAGTCTATCGATCTCAGTTGTCCATCCATGACCCACCGTGCTCCGAGGCCTTGGACAGGGCCTTCTAGTCCCTCGAGGCCTTTCTGGGCAGAGGGCAGCCTGAGCTGTAGGTGGGCTGGGCACCTGGCTACTGCAGAACGTGGCAGAGCACAGGACCCCTCCTCTGGAGAGCAGGACCGAGGCCATCCTTGTTGGAGCCTCGGGGTCCTCATTTGGACGTGGAGTGGAGTCAGTGCCCTGGCTGCGGTGAGGAGGTCTCGTGGGGAAAGTGCACACGCCGGGGCCAGTGCAGGGAGAGAGGGAGCAAGAGAGGCTTCGCAGGTCCCTCACATCACCCCCGGAGCCTGCACGGCCTTCTCCTTTGCGCCCTGGGCCCTGCTGGAACCGCTGCCTCCAGGCCCAGAACCAAGGTGTGTCTTTCGTGGCCTGCTTTCCCACCTGCTGCTGCAATGCTGGGCCTGACCACCAGGGGCTTGGTGGCCACTCCTGCTCGTGCTCAGAGGAGTAACTGGAAGAGGGAAGGCACACTCAGCGGTCCTTCTGGGGGTTCCCCTGGCCAAAGCAACAGGTACCTTTCAGGATTGGCGCCCATGGCCACGATGGGAGGTGCTCAGAGGCAGAAGGGGGATCTGAGGTCACCCCCTTCTTTCAGCTGCTGTGGGCCCTGCTCTCACTCTGGGAAGGCGCGGTGTGAGTCTAGGGGCGGTTCTGAAAGCCCTCACGCGGCCCGTGTCCTCCAGGACCTCACCGCCTGCAAGGGGAAGGGACCAAGAGAGGAAAGCAAATCCATGTGGAAAAGATGCGCATGTGCTAGAGGGCAAGGAAGCAGGGTGCTGGAGGGAGGGCCTGCAGCCCTGAGGTGGGTCGAAAGTCCTCTGAGCGGACATTGGTGCCACGAGCAGAAGGACACGAGGAGCCAGCCCTGCACACAGCCGGGAGCAGTGTGCCAAGGGAAGCTCCGAGGGCCAGACACTCGGAGGCGCAAGGGAATCTGGCCGAGAGGAGGTGAGAAAGGAGCTAGAGTGGCTGCAGAGAGCTGGGGAGGAGAGGAGGCTGGAGGGGAGGAGGGCAGGGCCAGACTCAGGCCTGGAAGGAGCTCCTAGCTGTCTAGGCTGGGTGTGAGCACGACCCTAACTTAGTACTCGTAAGAACAAACAGGCACCACCTCCTCGTTTCTCTCCCAGGATCCAGGCTCAGCTCTGCTAGGAACCTCTGCCTCCAGGTCTCCCGAGAGGCTGAGGCTGCAGGCTCAACGGAGGCTAGAGGGGCGGGGGCTGTCTCGGACACCACTGCCCGACTATTGGCAGGACGCCATTTGGATGGATTTGGGAGTCTTTTCCGTCTGGGAGCCGGGACCCTCTGCTAGCTCTTTGCACGAGGGCCACCAAGCACAGCTCCTACTATCTCGTCTTGCTTCTCCTGAACAACGGATCAGAGAGACAGAGAGAAAGACCGAGAGGGACACAGACAGAAAGCCAGAGAGGAGAGACAGAGAGACAAAGAAGAAGAGACGGAAATGGAGAGAGAAAGAGACAGAGAAACAGAGACCGGGAGAGACTGAGAGAGACAGAAAATGACACAGCCCCACAGAGAGACACAGAGGCCCAGAGAGATGCAGAGAGAGACAGAGAGAGACAAAGAGAGAGAGAGATGGAGAGAGAATGAGCACAGGAGAGAGGGCAGCAGGCAGAAGTCACAGACAAGTCCTGAACTCCCTCTTGGAAGGGACATCCCATCCCTTTGCCGTATTCTACTGGCTGGAACCCAGTTCCTTCCCCGCGAGGAGGCCGGATCACATAAGATGTGTGGCTGGGGGTGGGAACCCTGGGAGCCATTCTGGGGTCTCCCACGCGCAGACGTGGACAGGAGGCCATTGGACCTGAGTCTGATCCTAACAGGAGGCCCCGGAAGGTTGTGAGCCAGAGGGAGATGATGTCTGAACAGCATTTCATGTCAACGCTCCCTGGGGACGCTGGGAAACAGGCAGGAGGGGCAGTGCCTTTCCCAGATGCCAGAGCAGCCCCAGGTCTGTTGGAGTGGTCTTGTCTGTCCCGCCCAGCCCTTTGGGAACCCTTCCCATGCTAAGTCTGGGCAGGAGCTCCACGGGGTAGCGGTCCATGGGTTGACAGGCGCTGGAGGGATTGATAGGTCTAGACACCGGAAGACACCCTTAGCAAGTAGGTACTTGAACGACCCGCACTGCACTGATGGGGTCGTGGGGAGGCCCTGAGAGGCACATG